GATCTCGTCTTCTGATTCAAATGATGATGCCCAAACATCTAGATCATCTGTCATGCGTTCATAAAGCATTGAAATGTTGGGATTTTTATGCCTCAACATACATGAATATACATATATCATTGTTATCTCATTATCAACAATTAACTTTACTTGAACAGCTCCTTCAGGAAGAGCAACGATAAGTTCTTTACTTTTGGTTGACGATGTTTCTTCTACATAGATAGAAGAATTCAACGGTTGTGATGGTTCTTTAAGATGTATCAGAGGTGATGATTGTGCTCCTTTTTTTGAAATTGGTATAGGGTCAAAGGACTCAAAAGTGACCATTGTCACATTTACAGCTGTCATTTCTTCGCTAGAATCGAGTTTAATTTTTTTCTCGTTCAATAAACGAAAAATCTCTTCCTTTAAGATAAAACATCTTTCAAGGGGATGACTAATAATCCGATGATATTTGCAATACTTCAAATTATCAACCCTTCTCCGATTCTTCTGGCCGCTTGGGTGTTGGAAGCTCAATAAATTTTAACTCGAGTAGTTAATCAAAAATATCTGACACTTCTTCATCAGTGAAGGGATATTTATTCTCTTCAAGTTCTTTTCAAACTTGGTCTTGTCTTCTTTTTAGTTTGATCTTGATTAAATTTGACTTGGAAGTCTGTCTTTGGCTTTTTATCAATAATCTTCATCGGTGTAGTGGAGATTGCCAAAGACTCTTTTGATTTGGAGGCTTTCACATCTTTCTTCACGTCTTTTTTTACATCTCTCTTTTCACGAGGGTCGCTGAGAAAGTAATTTTCGTGCTTGAAAATTTGAATTTCCAAGTCATGGGCTCGTGTTGCAAGTTTTTCAAACGTATGGGGCATGTTTTCTTGGAGACTGTAGATTAGTCCCCCAATGCATTCCTTGGACACACATATCAATCGAAGAGGCTTCACTAATGCGTTCCTTACAATTGAGAACAAGACTCCTCCAGCGTTCAATGTAATCAATAATAGGTTTGTCTTTTCTTTGCTTTGTTACTGCAAGTTCAGGAAGACTTACCATACGTTGAGTGTTGTAGAAACGAGTGAGAAACTCTCGTTCAAGTTGGTCCCAACTATCAATAGTCCCAGCTGTTAGATTAGTGTACCAGTCAAACGTAGCCCCTCTGAAGAAACGCACAAATTGTTTCACCATCAGGTCACCGTTGGTACCGGCATTATTGCATGTTTCAATGAAATGAGCAACATGCTATTTTGGGTTGCCTTTCCCATCAAACTGTTGAAATTTCGGGAGTTGGTAGCCTATTGGCATTTATATCTCGTCAATTCGTCTTGTATATGGCTTCACATATACTAACGAAGATTGGGGAGCTCCTTCATACTAGGCTCGAATGATATAAGCAATCATATGTTGAAGTTGTTGGAGAAAGAGTGCGGCAACAGACATTTGAGAAGAATCTTGCATGGCATTTTGTGCCACGGCTCGATCATATTGCTCTAGTTTTTGTTGTTGTTCTAAAAACTTTGAATTTCCTGGCATTTTAGTACCAGACAGACTTGAAGTTTCTTGACTGCTTCCTTTTGAAGGTTTTTGCAATTCAAGCTGGTTCATGAGTGGAGTGATTTGCATTTCTTTACCTTCAAGGACCTTGGTCAACTTCTCGACAGTAGCAGTGAATTGTTGAAGATGTTCTTCAGATGAAGTGGCTTTCGTCACCATCACAGGCATAGGCATATCAGAGGCCAAGGAATAATCACCCCACTTCTGTTTAGGAGAAATCTCGGAGTAAGATTCAGTCTTTGAGCCTATGCTGGAGTGTGTGTTAGACAAAGAATCATTTGTCTCTTCCTTCAAATCGATAAAAGAATGAGCAGGTTGTCTCTTTCTGCTTAGAAGAGCCTTTCTTTTGCTTTGCCTAGATCGATGCTCCATCGGTGGCAAAAGTTGAGATTTACTCGCCTTTGTTCTAGCACAGGTTATTGGAATTGACTCCTCGACCAGGTCCACTGACTTGTCGGTGGGAGGAATCACGATGTCTTTAGTTGTCATTGTTGTCAACTTGTTAACTTGAGAGATGAGAGGAAGAGAGGGTCCCGAGGTGCCAAAATTTGTAACAACAAAATTTGTGATGTAAACTAACACAAAATAAGGTCAAATTAGAATAGTCAATTTGATTGACTTTAAGTAAAAAATGTAGTGTTGACTCTCTTTGATGTGTTTCGCACGTGCACTGTCCTCTAATTCTCGGTGAATTTGATGAAATTAATGAATTTGGTGAAGATAAGAGCCAGATTGGCGTATTTCTTACTCTTCAATTGGTGGCTTTGATGAACACAAGAGTTGGATCAATGTATCTCCTACTCTTCAATTTGATGATGTTTTTGATGAATCTCCTCACCGTTCTTCATTTGGAATGGCTTGAAGATGATTTGGATTTCTTGAAGAAGGGCCTTGGTGGTGTGTTCTTCTTCTTGGAGATGAACTTGCAAGGCTTTAAGGGTTTAGTGAACTTCAAGCAGAATTTTGCCGATCTTTCTTTCTCCTTGGCTTCTTCTCCCTCCTCTTGGCCTACATTTATAGTAGTAGGAGTAACTATCCATATAAGAGTCCTTATTACTCTTATATGGGCTTTAGGTAGTGGACTACCCATAAATTTGTAAGCTTTATGGAATTTAAGTCCAACCCACTTTATCTTTTTAAAGTTTATTTAATTTGGGCCTATAGAATTTAAGTCCATTTTAATTTAATAAGCCCAATTAATTGCATTTGGGCTTGTATTATTTAGGTTATGGAATTTAGGTCCAGTTTAATTTAATTTGATAAGTCTTATTAATTAAATTTAGGTTTGTATTATTTAGGTTATGGAATTTAGGTCCAGTTCAATTTAATTTGACAAGCCTTATTAATTAAATTTGGGCTTGTATTATTTAGGTTATGGAATTTTGGTCCAATCCAATTTTATTTATCTAATTGATTTGAGTTCAATTATAGACTTTTATTTACTAATTTTTTAATGGCTACACCCCCCCTCAATGAATATTCATTTTATATTGGTCAGCCAATCCCAATATTAAATATAAATATTGAGAGTCATAATTTGAATAAGAATTCTTGTGGTATATCTTTACGATGTATGATTAAATAAAAAAGGATGTTCTATAGAACGATTCTCGAATTGGCCAAAAAAAGATTAATAAATAATAAGTTGCATGAACTTAGATCAATCAAAATAATGATATTTCTATGCAACGATTCAGTCTAATCAATTTGTCCATTTAGATTGTATTCATGTGGGAGAATGATAAAGAAAAGGGAAGGAAGAGAAGAATTTACAAAAAACGGGATTTATAAAAAATGAGTTGGTTCGGAAAGGAGGGTCGAACTAGGTATATGTAATTGAATGACTATAACTCAACTCTTGTGGATGTTTCGACAAATGATTCTCGAATCCGATTGAATCTAAGATGAATCAATAGTTGGTTTACGTTATGGAACAAAGACATGTATATGTAATATTAGANTTAACTCTTGTTGATGTTTCGATAAATGATTCTCGAATCCGATTGAATCTAAGATGAATCGATAGTTGGTTTTACATTCTAATAGAAGTCCTTATGTCTCGTCTGTGACTGTGAGTTGTATGAATAAACAGATGAAATCAAGAAAAAGATCAAAGAATTCAATGAATGATTCGGAACAAATAAATGGAAGAACGAAAGTCAGATAGATTCACAAAGACTCTGTGGATAGAAACTAAAAAATATATATATAAGTAGTTTTGATGATTTAATAATATTATTATTACTTTATTGCAATTCGAAGTTATTAGTTACTTCGACTGGATGAATCTTAGCGATGGAATAATGAAATTAAGTCATAATTCATTGGTTGATTGTATCATTAACCATTTCTTTTTTTTTTTTNTGAATGAATCTTAGCAATGGAATAATGAAATTAAGTCATAATTCATTGGTTGATTCAAATATAGAAGTAGTTTCATAAGATATTTATCTCTCATGAATACCGATCAGATTTAACCGATCAGATGAAAAAAAACAAGGGCACTGTTTAACACAATTATACTGAATATAATAATTTTAATTTTATTTATCTAATTAATTTTCTCAAACGAACATGTATTCCACATATATTGAATCAAAAAGTTAAGACTAATTTTTTTTGTCTCTAGAGAAAACTCAATGCTAATATATTCTTATAAATTAATATATTCTTAAGAAAACTCATTTTTCACTTATATTACACAAGGCACGAATTACCCCAGTACAAATTTTTGGAGGGACGGGAGAGGTTTCAAGTATTGTCATAGACAGGGCAACAGGGGAGCTTAGTAGGAAGTCAAACGCCCCACCCATGGCTGCCCTGCTGTATCTGTCATGAAAACAATATTCAATTTATAGAAAAATATATGATTGGTTAATTCACTTCTCCTGTACGACTAATTACATACTTACCAGAATACTAAAAAAAATAAAAAAATATTACATATTTGCTAAAAAAAAAACCTTTAATCATGTCTAGTTATCCATGACTTTGTTTATTTGGTAAATGAAACACTAAAATTTTAAACCTAATACGGTTTAACTGTAATATAATATCACATTTAAATGTGAATTGTGATATTAAAGTTATAATTAGCTCAATAGTATGAGTTGAGTGTATTATTCATATTCAAAATAAATTTATACATAATAAGAAATATTTTTGACAGGCAAAAATAATAGAATATCAGATTTGAAAACTTTAATTTATTTTGATTCATTAATGTATCCTTTAATCCTGCAAGCAACTACCTACCCTTACGAATATCATTAATGTATTCCTAGTTGTTTTTTGTTTTTTAATCCAAGTTGAGTTGGAGCGGTTATTGAGAAATGATGATAAAGCCACCAGTGGTGAGGAAGTTGTGGACAATTATTTTTATATTTAAGTAGACAATATTCTCATCTCCTCCGGCACGGGAATTGCAGTATTCTCTTCAGATCCGAAAGGAAAAAATGGAAAGCAAGCCAGTGATTGTTGCTAAAGCCACCAGTGGTGATTCCTCATCTCTCAACTCTCCATTTCTCAGAAACTTCTGGGTTTAGATGGAAATTTCATAGCATCTTCTACATGGAAAACCTTTTTCCATTGTAGATATATAATTATTTTTATATTTAATCTAGCAGACAATCTCATCTCCTCTGCCACCGTCATTGTAATTCAATACCATTTTGTGATTTTCTCTTCAGATTATTCCCAAGGAAAAATGGAATGCAACCAAGTGACTACTGCTAAATCCACCAGTGCTGATTCCTCATCGCCTTCGCCGGTTGAGATTGTCGATGGAAATTCCTCCCCGCAGGTTGGTTTTTCTAATCTCTCTCTCTTTCTTTCTCTCAAACGACTCTCCTTCCATTTTCTCCACTTATACTCGATTTTCCTTATTTGCTAGAAAATAGAAAACACACATGTGACTACTGCTGAAGCCACCAATGGTGATTCCTTATCCCCGGTTGAAATGGCGCGCCGATTCCGAAGCACACCTAGGAAGCGTGAGGGGAGCAATAATTATAAATTTTTTAAATCATATATAATACCTAAAATTTCATTATTGTTTCTTTTTTTTTTTTTATAGATAGTAATAACTCTAATTTAGACCTTTTTTTTAATATTTCTCTAAGATTGCTTCAAATAATTAATAAAAAAAATAAGCAAGGAACAATTGTTCTTATTTTCTTTTAACAAAAAAAAAAAAGAAAACAATAACGTGTTTTTGTTGTGTTTTTATTTTTTTTAAGCCACCTTGTTTTAAAAACATGGTCCAAATTTGTAAACACAAAAAATGATGCTTTTGAAAACATTCTAAACTAAAAACACGCACATCCTTATTAATAATTAATGAGATCTAGCCTTCGAATCTCATTAGCAACATAATGAAGTTTTTTTTTGTGTCAACTATAAGAACCTCTTTTCTTTTTTCTTTGTTCGTCTCTTTCCCTCCCTCATCTGTCAGTGACGAAAAAGACAAAGACGAAGCCGACATCGTCTCTGTTGTTCGTTTTTTTCCCTTTTTCCTTAACTATATATATATATATATATCATAACTCGTGTTTAAAGACACAATACAACATAAAATTTGAGCCCCAAAAAATTAATCTCACTATATTAAGTAATAATTTTTGTTCCTTTCATTTCTTTGATTATATCATTCAAAATTTATTTTTACCTATTATTTGCTTAAAAATATTGATAAAATTTGCTAAAAATACATAATTTGATAAAAATTTTTGAACATATGTATACAATCGTGTATGAATAATATCTGAAATAAAATTTATATTAAACTACAAATTAATCAAAAATTAAATAATTAAATATGTGATAGAAATGAGTGATGTGATGGTTTTGAGGGATAAAATTCAACTTCCTATTTTTTTTTTATTATATAGATAGATCTATATGTGTATGTGTTTATTTGTGTTTGTGTGTGTGTATGTGTGCTGTTATAGATAGATCTATGTGTGTATATGTATGTGTGTGTATGTGTGCTGCATATATATCTTTGTATGTATATGTATATGTGTGCGTGTCTGTGTGTGTCCCAGCAAGAGGATGAGTCTGTGAGTGTGTCAACAAGAACATCTCCAATTTTGTTTTTTTTTATATCACAAGTACATCTCCAATTGAGGTATTTGGGATGAAAATATTAACTAAAATAATATTAATAAAAATATTATCCAAAATATATAGTATCAAACATGTTTTTTATTTATATTTTTATAATTTTTTAAATATAAATGACTAATAAATATATTTTATATTTTTAATTTTTATCACAAAAATAATAAAAATTAATTATTATTTTTTTATAAAAAAAAATATAAAAATAAAAACGTTACCAAAAGGCACCCTTAATTTTCCTGATTTGCTAGAAAATGGAAAAAAACACCCGCTGAAGCCACTAGTTGTAATGTCTCATTGTCATAGAAAATTTAGCAAAATTGCATTCTACTGATGTTTTAGAAAATAATTACCCAAAATGTTTTGATATTTGAAGCAGATATGGCAAGGGAACACACCACCACGGCACCACATACTCAGATTAGAATGCAGCCCCACTTTTTTAAATGAAAAGGAAAAACAAGATATAATGTATATATCAAGCTTTTTTTTCTTTTCTTTTTTTTTTAAATCTAATAACACGTACCTCTACAAGGTTTTTATAACAAAAATAATCCTAGAAGTAATTCATAATCGATCCTAACCTTATCATGTCAAATAATATCCTAAATAGATCCTACATTAAACTAGCTTTTTACAATGAAGATTGGTATTTTATTTCTCCTTCTCTTCTCCAATCTCTATTTATATTTAATTTCTCTTCTTTAATTTAGCCTTCTCAAGTTTGAATAGTAAATGAATGAATTTACTAGATTCTCTTGACTAACACGATTCAAATTTATAAATATACAGATGGACGGAGCTCCCTTGGAGTCATGCACCCACATTTCAATGGTCCGTGGTGTTTAAACCAACTTATGCGTATTTTGACTAATTCTCTTCTCGTTCTAGTTAAAAACAAATTATTGATGCCGAAACTAGGATATTCATCAGTAATAAATCTCTATGACCTGGTCTCAAGGCAACCCACTCTACACTTTTTTTAGATTTTAAAAATTCTGATGCCTCCCTCTAGGGTTGTCCATGGGCCGGGTTGGGTTAGGCCCGTGAATTTTTATTTGGGACGGATCTGGGTAGTGTAGATTTAAGTCCTTACTCAAGTGAGTTGTCGGACGGGCCGGACCGGACTTCGGGTATGAGTAGGCTACCCTCAATCCAACCCGCGAGCCTATTAGGTGGGCCTGCTCGCGAGTTTTTTATATACGACTTCATTTTAAAATAATGAATATTTTTGTAACTTAATATTTATGTAAATTATATTTTTAAATCAAAAGTAGAGTCAAAATAGATAAAAAAATAAAAGAATAAATAATTTTATTTTTGATTAAGGGCTGAACTACATCCAATAGAATGAATACATATTAACTAAATTGACATCTACTCACTTATCTATCATTTACATTATTCTATCATTTAAAACTTCTATGCTTAATATATAAAAAAAAAATAATACATTATTTATAATATATAAATTTCTAAAACTTCAAATTCCGATGTTTGACGGGTGGGCTCTTGGGCCAAGTTTTAACGAGCTTTTTCGGGCGGGCTATTGGGCCGGGCTTCGGGTTTGGGGGTAAACCCAAATCATCTTTTCAAGAATATTGGGCTAGGGTTTAGGTGGGCCAACTATTGGACCTATCAGATTTTGAACCATTTTTTGGGCCGGGTAACGAGACCCGTGGATAACCCGGCCCATGAACACCCTTACCTCCCTATGAGATTTTCAAAAGCTATATTTTCATCTATTGTATTAGTAGGCTTAATGACCTAACTATAGGATGTAAGGATAATGTTTAAATTTTATAATCCAAACTAAGTTTTTTCGGTGTAGGATTAAAGATCAAGTCCGGAATATGAGTCAAATCGACCCTTTTAGTCGCGGTTGGGCACTCAATACTGTGCACAACCAAGCTCAGACCATTATTCTATGGACTGCACTCCTGAGTTTCTAAACCTCCTATGTCTGACCCAATTGTCGTACAAGAGATTCGTGAATGTCGGTTGGTGGATCCCTTTAGTAGATCCTCTAATTAATTCCCAGTAGTCGATTCATCTTTGCCACTAATCCTGGATATATCATGTTGAAGTTGATTTTGGATAAATTTTATGTAAGTATAAATTTAACAATAACAATGACTTGTTGAATAACATTCCAAATTTTGTCATTATTTGCCCCCTAGAAAATCTTGACTCTGTTCCTAAATAAACATGATAATAATAAACAAAGTTTAATAGGGTTTTTTGCATTTTGCACCCCAAAAAAATCTCTCGATTCTCACTTTATACCTTGAAAAGATTATTTTTTTTATATTGCACATGGAATATCATAAATTGGTTTCAATGTGGCCTTCGGACTAACATCCGTTTCAGATTCTGTTAAAAATTAATACAATTGTCACCCATATGTGATGTTCTTGGATAAAAATGTAAACTCACCATCCATATCCTTGGGTGGCATATGCATTAATTTTTAACAGAATTTGAAACGGATGTTAGTTCGAGGGCCACATTGAAACTAATTTATGACATTCAGGGTGTAATGTGGGAAAAATAAATTTTTGGGATACAAAGTAAGAATCGAGATATCTTTCAGGGTACAAAATGCAAAAATCCCATTTTAATATCACAAACTCTAATTTTCACTAAAAGAAATTGCATTAATATTTCTCTCTGTCTATGGAGACAGGCTCTATGACCATCTTCAGCCAAAAGGTCCAATGGGGGAGGGAATTGTGATACAAAGGAGCTCAGTGTAAGTTGGTTGATTTCTACCTGACTAGATGATGAATTCCAAGACTTACACTACCATATTCACCTACATTAACCTTCGAATTTCTATGTTACATCTGCGATGGTCATTCCAATAGTCACACATAACGTGTTCGTAGCAAACGGATTTAGGTTATAATAATAGGTCGAGGACTACCTAATATACAATTGATTTATCTACATAAGGGGCTATTTGATTTTAAGTTATATATTATAACATGTATTAGATATAGGTGTTGCCAGGGGCGGATTTGCAATGTGGGCAGCTGTCCACATTGCAATTTTAACAACTTTTGGGGCCTAGTAGAATTTTGAAAAGTTTCAGAAGTGTTTAAAATTGCCCCATTGAAAATTTATAAAACATATAGGGTTATTTCTACAATTTAGAAAATAAATGGAGTCCTTAACAAATGTATGTAGACAAGATGTAGTTGTTTTATCCTCAAATCATTGTTGCCTATTAAATGTTTGTTAAAATGCCACAAACAAAGCCATGACAAAATGAGCAAGTAACTATGACTATCCGCGAGTCCTAAGGAAATTTTGCATTGCTCATGGTCAAAGGCTTGTGATTTTCAACTATTTTATTTAATTCAAACACTTGAAAATTCAAACAACATGGTTGCTTGATCAATATACATTGATCTTACAAGTTGTTTGTTAAAAATTCAAGGATAAAACATTGAATTTGAGTTGAATTAGAGCCCCACTGTGAAACAATCTTGGCTCCGCCCCCTGGGTGTTGCAAGGTTGGTGAGTCAAGTCTCTCAACCAATTGATTGAATTTCCGGATTGTTTGTCTAAATGTCTCAATTTAGCTGCAATCAATTTGCTTATTGTTTCAATTCAGTTTGTTAACCTACATGTACGGAAGTTTGTATGACATGTGGGAGGATGTGTAGAACAATTAATTATTCAATTATGGTAGTTTTTAAACTTATTTATAAAATGTGATAGTTTAAAACTTATTTACTAAATTATCATTTTTTTTTCAAAAAAAAGTATTTTCAAAATAATGATAATTTTACAAACAAATGTAGAACTCTAATATTTAAGTAAATAAAATTAACCCAGCTTGCAAAAACCATTATTGACTAGGCTTTCATTAAAAAAAAGGCTTTAGACATGTATTATAATTATAATTATAATTATAATGCTTTCTAGATAGTTGTTCATCAGTATTATCAACTCAAAAATACAATAAATTTATTTATATGTGGAATATATAATTAGTAACATGAGATATATAATTAGTTATCCAATATTAAAAATGTATATTTATTTCATAATAGTCTTCAAACGTACATATATTTTTTTAAGACAGATGCTAGTGCAAATAGAAAAAAAATCATATGTGAATTAAATTTTAAATAATATTAAACAACATTTTTTCACTTTTCATATCGAAAAATAGGTGCATCTATTGTTTTTCAATGTATATTTTTAAACCATCTTAGACAGTTATCATTTTAATCATCAATTAGTTCTATTCCTACCATTACACTAGTTTTTTTATTTATAATTTCATCTTTTCATATTTCTGATAGAATTATTTTTGCAAAATAGTAGTCATGTATTTTGATGAAATTGTTTTTCTTACTCAAACAAAAATACTTAGAAAATGTTATCAAACCATACATAAGTTGAATCCTTGTTAGATTTTATACATGTTGGTGGAAATATTGTCATCATTATACCAAGAGCTTCTAAGGGTGAGAAGAAACCTATAGGTAGGTACTGAATCCATCATTTAACTTGCTTATTCTTATTGCTATTTTAGCTTGAGAGTTCTGCGGTACTAAAAAATCATTCTTTTGTGTGGCTTCCAAAATTATTATTCATTGGGATCAACTTACGACTCAGATGAATCGATGAAGATTGATCTTAAAAAGTTGAGGATGATACCAATATTTTTGGAGTTTTTGGGTCGATTCCAATCTTTTTTGTAACAATCCATTCCGAATTTGAACCATATTGAGCAGTAACATTGAACCATTTTGCGTCATAACTATCAGTATGGTATCGAATTATGTACCATAGAAAATCCCACTAGCTTAAGACAACTTTTAGAGGTTCCACTTTTAAGCTTTCAATGATAAATCTCAAGTACCAATATTTTGCATAACTAATGTACCATGTTGTAATTTTTTTTCAGTAGATAACTTCAATAAACATTCAATAATTGAGATGTTTTCACATTATTTTGTGTACAAATTTAATGCACGCAACATTTTTTTCAAAGTGTATTTTATTCAGTGGGTCAACCCACGTGTCATGAGTGTGGGTTGACCCGTGGGCCATGGGTTATGGTTACGGGTCAGATCGTGGATCGTGGGTCATGGGGGTAGGGGTGTATTAGTGTGTGTGTGTGTGTTTTTGTGTATTAGTGTATGTGTGTGAATTTTTTGATGTATTAGTGTATGTATTTTTTGGCATCACTAATGTTATTAGAACATAATTTGAGAACTTAATGCATTATGATCATTGGATTGATGGTGTTGGGACCCAGTAATAATTTAATGGTGGGATCCACTGACAATCTAATAGTCACAATCATTAAGTCCCCAAATTATGTCTCAATAACATTGCTTTTTTTGGTATATTAGAGTATTTGTTTTATTTTATTACTTGTTCTATTCTCTTTGTGCTTATTCTTTCCATTCTATTCTCACTCTGCTTTTTGGACAATGTTCCAGAAGGAGAAGAGGAAGAGATTCCTGAAGAGATGGCAGTCTGTGAATTCTGTTGCAGAGTATTAGAAGAAAATGTGAGCAAGGCAAAATGTCATTGTGGAACGGCACTTGTTCATGACGAATGCACATCTAACCGACTTAGAGTGGAAGGAAATAACAAGTGTAAAGCCTGCGGCCAAGATTTCGAAAACTTACCAGTAACTTTGCTTCGACGCCCCTTTGATGGTGGGAATAAGGGGCAAGTGGGCAAGAAACAAAGTCTGTTATCACGATTGAAAAGGTATTGCAATCTGCAAGTCACCCTCACACAATAATTGCACTTACATTCGAGTGTCCAATTCTGCTAAACATAATGGACAAGTGGAACACAAAGGGAGCTTGAATGTAACTTGCTTATTATCATATATAAGATTAACAATTGTCAAAAATCTTGACAATCCCTTGGGGTAAGGTCACAAAGGAGTTATATATCCCCCGTGAATATCTCTAATCCCGACGTGGATGATCTACCTTTGATCAGACCAGAGAAGGGATTAGTCAACATACACGTATGTTGAACCAAAAAATATAACAAAAAATATCAAAAATTGATACCCCAATTATGGGGCCTTGATTAAGGTTGTCAAGCGGACAGGATATAGAACTTATTTTTTAAAAATATTTGCACAGCATTATTGAGTCAGTGAGTTGCCATCACAAATATATGTTTGTTGATTTAATTTGTTGAACAAATAAATCATTATTATTAAATTAATAGCGGTTCTAGTATTGGTTAGAACTCCCAACCAATCGAATGATTGTAAAGAATCAGATCAACAAATCAAGCATGCATATTAGATCCACGTACTATTGTTATGTCACAAATGATCAAAGTTAATGTCAAATTCAATAAAATTACTTCTGAATTCTAATTTCTGTTCAGTTAAAGAAAAAAAAACAACTCTTATTTCTGTTGTGATCAATTAAAACCTCATACGAATGAGTGCTTCTATTTCCTTTCCTGGTTGATTTAGCTACGTTATTTATTGATACATATTATTATTTGCTCTTTTCAGGGCTTGTTTGTGTTGTGATCGTGCCATATCATAGCATATTGGAGGTTAGAGACCGATGAATAGAGAGAGAGAGAGAGAGAGAGAGAGAGAGAGATCTCCCATAAGACTTAGATGTGTTGGTATATTGTGGCTGGTTGTTAGATCTATACCTTCTCTATTATATAGAATTGTGTGATGCAATCGTTGCTGGTGTTATTAGCCAATAAAGTTCATTTTGGAACTCAACCCAATTCAATAAAGTTTTATGTGTTTTCTATAAATGAAAACGGCTCTCTGTATCTTTCTCTATCTCTCTCCTCCCCTCTCTTCCTCTATGTTTCTATAAGTGATGATGTGAAAAACAGAGAAGAGTGAGTTGGGGAGCTAAAGAGCTCTTCGTGAGGTGACAGGAGTATGTGCGAATGGATTAAGGGAAAATACACAAAGTATTAAGTGGTTTATCAAGTTGAAGAGTTAGGCTAATCCACTGTAATAGAGACTTGTCCCTCTGGTTTGGTATTGATTGAGGAAGAAGAAGATTACACTTGTTGTGGTATATATTACTCACGTATCTAAGGCGGTATACATGCTTGTCTTTTATACATGATGGTACTGTAGTCCTCTAGTCATCACAATCTGTTAGAATATTTGGAAAAACATTTAACTGTTAGAGGCTCTCTCCCCTATGTTTAGATCTGTCTTCTCTATTATACTAAGTTCGGCTTAATCTCCCTTTAATTTCCAAAAAGTTTGTTTGATGATTGTTCCAAGTGAGGAATAATTGGAATATGATTAATCAGCATATTTCACTTGCTTGTATGATTAATCGGAATAATTCAGCGCAGACATTACTTTAAATACAAAACAAAAATTCAAAAAAAAAAAAAAATTAAATTAGAGTGAGAGAGAGAGAGAACACGAGACTTCTTGCCAAGGGAAGGATCGATTATGGTGTGGCATATTTTGTCAATAAGCTTGGCTGAAATGTAAAATCAAAAGCTTTGTTACAACCAACGCATAATGCTGTGACATAATTGTACTTGAAAGCAATAACTTGATATTACAAGGTTTCTGCTGTATAATTACCCCCTCTTATGATATTATTCACAGTATAATTCAAGTTTATGACGCGACTGTTCCATTTTTCCCAAGTTCCCGCTTTCTGGCTCTTTCCATCTTCCTTTGACGCCATTCCTCTAAAGCTGAAGAACTCAAAACATGTTAGAAAAAATCATTTTCATCATATTACCACAAATGAAGATACATCCTAATAGGAAACACACAGAGAACCAAGAAATCATGTGGTAAGGAACCAATGTTGAGAAATATTGACATATATATCTTGTTCAATTCAACCTGTGTGATTTAAAACAATAATTAAAAGATTTGTTTAGTGAGAGGAAGCTGGGCAAAGGTGTGAGTAGTTGATAGATTTAAGTATCAAAAATGCAGCCACAGTTTAAGGATTTAAGATAGGGCAATGAGGCATGCTACGAAGATGACGTTATCTGCATCCCAGTCCTACATCAGAGAGGAGCAATATGCCCCCTTTGTAATATGAAAGAGTATTCTCCTTAGTACAAGTAGGACGACTCCCCATGTTTTTTAATGTACTTCGAAATTCAAACTATGCACATTGAACGTCTTTTGTTCAACAGGCTGAATATTGAACATTGGTGTCATGTTGATAATTCTTGCACTTCATGCCTTAAGGATACTATTGGTGAAACTTTCCATACTTTCAGGAGGTTTTTCCTCGTACACTTCAACCACATATAACCATATTAAGCACGTGTACTGTGGTGTTCCCATACCCAAATTTGGGGATACAATCTGTTCAAAATATCCATCTTTGTGTTTCCCTTTAAGATACACTGTAAATCATGCCCATGACATGAATTGGCATAATGCTAGAAAACATAAATAACCTTTAGAAAGGGTGGCACCTGATCCTTTATGTGAAATTTATCATGTCCCTCAAATAGATCTAGAGAGAGAGGGGGGAAGAAGGAGAGAGAAAGAGAAAGCAACATATGTTCAGGGATAAGGAAGTCACCTTTCTGGCTCCCAGCATCTGAATAGGAACGAACATTATTCAGCCTTGATATAAGGTCAACTGCAGCAGACTGCTTTGTATCTTTCTGCTGGACTGGCTCTGGCTCTACATGTGCTTCTTCCTCAATTTCTCTCACCTAAACAATATGTCTTTGCATGCTGAAGTTATCTCAATCAACAGATTCAAATAACCAATCATGTCAAATATAAATAAAGAGTAAAACATTGGAAANCTTGTTCAATTCAACCTGTGTGATTTAAAACAATAATTAAAAGATTTCTTTAGCGAGAGGAAGCTGGACAAAGGTGTGAGTAGTTGATAGATTTAAGTATCAAAAATGCAGCCACAGTTTAAGGATTTAAGATAGGGCAATGAGGCATGCTACGAAGATGACGTTATCTGCATCCCAGTCCTACATCAGAGAGGAGCAATATGCCCCCTTTGTAATATGAAAGAGTATTCTCCTTAGTACAAGTAGGACGACTCCCCATGTTTTTTAATGTACTTCGAAATTCAAACTATGCACATTGAACGTCTTTTGTTCAACAGGCTGAATATTGAACATTGGTGTCATGTTGATAATTCTTGCACTTCATGCCTTAAGGATACTATTGGTGAAACTTTCCATACTTTCAGGAGGTTTTTCCTCGTACACTTCAACCACATATAACCATATTAAGCACGTGTACTGTGGTGTTCCCATACCCAAATTTGGGGATACAATCTGTTCAAAATATCCATCTTTGTGTTTCCCTTTAAGATACACTGTAAATCATGCCCATGACATGAATTGGCATAATGCTAGAAAACATAAATAACCTTTAGAAAGGGTGGCACCTGATCCTTTATGTGAAATTTATCATGTCCCTCAAATAGATCTAGAGAGAGAGGGGGGAAGAAGGAGAGAGAAAGAGAAAGCAACATATGTTCAGGGATAAGGAAGTCACCTTTCTGGCTCCCAGCATCTGAATAGGAACGAACATTATTCAGCCTTGATATAAGGTCAACTGCAGCAGACTGCTTTGTATCTTTCTGCTGGACTGGCTCTGGCTCTACATGTGCTTCTTCCTCAATTTCTCTCACCTAAACAATATGTCTTTGCATGCTGAAGTTATCTCAATCAACAGATTCAAATAACCAATCGTGTCAAATATAAATAATGAGTAAAACATTGGAAAAGATTTCAACCACAATGAAAGATACAAACTTCTACCGGTGATATCATATTATTCTGTTCATTCGACGGATAATTTGATAGAACGATAAAGCCACTCATACTCACCCTTTTTATCAGTTCCAAGGGCTCCATGGCATGGCGTATCTCTTCAGATTCCTTTATATACCTCCATTGAACTGCATTTTGACAGGTAAAATAACATTTATAATTACTCAGCAGGTCTATGGCTCATCGAGCGTTATAAATACCTTAAAAGGACAAGAAATTTGGACAGAATCAAGAATCTATTACTATGGCCACACCAAAGATGTAGCAAACTCCGGAAGGTTTCATGCTTACTAATAAATCATAAAAAAGGAAAAGCTTATGTTCATTTAACAATTTCATATTTCATTCAAATAGTACGTTTCCAAAAATTAACTAACACCATTCAAGTCATAAATATTATGACCACAGTTGGTCATAGTAATCTTGCCTACCTTTGTATTAATATTTATTGCTCAAGACGTGAATTCATTTGTGAAAGATTGCGTAAATTCTGGATGTCTTTACAACCTTGTAACTACAGAAGCTTAAACTCTCTGACTTGCAACATGAGTCCGAAGTTAAATTGATCGAAAGGAAGAGAAACTAGTTTAGTTTTAAAATCAAATTGCTAAGGGAAAACTTCCTCCTATATTGGCCTCCTAAATGGAAAGGCTCGATATGGTGAACCAAATTTGACATCGGTGAAGAATTAGAATCTATACTTCAATATCAGTCAAGCCAGGATGTGAATCTGGCTGGTAATTTGAATTGTAAAGTAAATATTGCATTGGAAATTGTCATGACAGATACATCCGCATCACAAGCTAAATGCCTCAGTAAAAGATCATACAGCTATGACATGTAAATCCTTCATGTTATTACTTTTGACATTTTCTAAATATCTAGATGATTTGGATTGTGTTTGGATGCACCAGTTATGAATTGTTATATACAGGAGATGGTGTGCATATGAAATATAGACATGTATGTTTTGAAAGTTCCTGCGGCTAAATTAAGTCCCCTGTCTAGTGAGCGTCCATCTACCAACTATCTCCCTTTTCAACCCAGCTAAATGCAAAAATTGGTAACAAGCTAGATCATCTACACTGCACGCAAACTTACGTACTGTGTTTTTGTACGGCCTTAAGATTAAAATTGATTGCAATTACATACTACTACGTCGGAAGATTCAGAACATTTCTTTAACAAGAGTATTTTTGGGTTCAAAAGTATCACCGCATCAAGATGATAGTACCCGATGCACTTCATGGGTGATACGAGGGGTGTATTCTGCACAAACTTGCCCAAGCCACAGCATAGATTTCAACCTTTCATTGAACACAAAAGTTTACAACATTTGTGAGGTAAAAATTAGGGAATTATGTAAAACCCTTGTATCCTAGAAGTGAAGAAGGGCGTTGCACGTATGAATTTCAAGTTCTATATTTTCCTATAGCTATGAGCAATGAGGGTTCATGAAGAAGAGGTTCAATCCTCCTCACTAAATGTCTCCCTTGAATTGAATTGGATAATCAGTATTCAGTAGCTCAATTAAAGGATTTGTTCAAGTCCAAAGAACTCATAAAGGCCTCCCTTGGAGCTGCCACTGTGTTAGATCACTGGAGGGAAATTATAGTTTTTTCCTTCTCTCCCTTTTACCCAAAAATATCAAAGAAAACAAATAGTGTACAAGGGTGATGATGAAGTGTATACCAACAAAATTTAGAACTGTGCAACAAAAATATTATAGAACATCTCTCGATCACTAGACACATTCCTCCAACCCAACTAATTCAATCCCCGTAAATTCCAAGCAAAGTCCAAAACCCATACCTATTCAAAAGCTGGTCACCCATTTCTCACCAAATTAACAATATTGCTCTCGAATTCAATGAACCCTTATAATTCTTTCCCAATTCAATTCAACACACACACACACACACACCTAGACACATTGGTAAAACTGAAAGGGTAAAACTGAAGCCATGAGAGAGGGGGAGAGAGAATGAACCTGAATCGGGTTGACTGTCGTTGACTTTGCGAGTGGATGAAGAAGAAAGGAAGCCATGAAGCAAGAGAAGGGCAATCACCAGATTGAACACACAGACAACAATGGTGGCGTTCTTGAAAGACAAACTCTTCCTCCACCACTGCTGTAGTTTCTCCATCCTCGCCACCCGCCACCAACCACCCACACCAGGAGTCATAGGTAGAAGAAAAAAGAGACTCACCAAACAGGCATTTTCTTTTAGGTTAATTATTATTTTCTATCTTTAGTGTTAGGCCCTTGTAATTTAGGATAAATATTTAAACTTTACTTAAAGTTTAAAATGACTTTTAAAATTTTTAATTATTTTAATTTAGGTCCATAATTATTAATTTTGCATCGATAAAATCATTCCGTCCATCTCACCGATTAGAACAAACGAAGATACATGAAATGGATTAGTCTCCATTTGTTTTAATCGGTGAAATAAACAGAAAAATTTTATTAACATAAAATTAATAATTGAAGAATTAATTTAAAATAATTAAAAGTTTAGAAATTAATTTAAATAAGAGATAAAATTTAAGAACCATAGGACTGGCATGGATGATCTATTTTTGACTGAATTGAGAAGAAAATTAGTCGAGATATACATAAATTGATCTAGGCCTTGACCAAAAAAAAGATTAGGATTAATAGCCATTATGTTAATAGACTAAAGTGTTGTAATTAGCATCTAAATAGACAAGAATTAGCCAGAGATGTCTACAGTAGAAATTTTAAAATCTTTAATTTATAATATAAAGTTGGATATATTTCAATTAATTCATCCGACGATTTCAAATAGACTTATCCAACGGTCACTAACATCTCTCTCAAAATCATTCACATTACATCATACTTTCAGGCACGAATTACCCATAATTTAAATATTAAAAAATGAAGGATAGAGTATGTTTATTATTTTCCTCAAGTCTATGTTTTACGTTATTTTAGTTCTTACTTTTTTTAATTTTGTAGCTTTAATGCATTTACAATTGAGTCAAATTTTTAAAATTTTTAAAATTTTTTATTCTTTCAATTTTGTTGCTTTACAGTTTACAACCGTTTCATATGAATCTACTTGGAAAAACCATTTTATTTTCTCAAAAAATTTAATTTGTGTTATTGACCCACTTCAAGTCTTTATCTTTTTCAATTTTATTTTATTTTGACCCCTTCTTTTAAGTTTTCAAAAAGTGCCTTTGCCGTTTACTATTTTTTTTTTTCCGTTTACTATATTTTACCCACAGACAAATGTATATTAACAAATAAGCATATGACACGAGATATTTCAATGCACAAATTTAAATTTAAAGAAAAATAAAGTCAAATTTAAAGGAAAAAAAATTCAAATTTAAAGATAACCAACTCAAATTTGAAAAAAAAAAAAGAAGTGAAATATGACTATCAAATTTTTTTAAAAAAATAAAAAATTTGACTATTAAAAATTTGAGTCTCCAGTAAGAATTTGAGTCCTCCTTTATTTGATATAGATTTAAATTAAAGACCGGAGTTTATTTTAGTCTGTTTTTATTCAAAGCTAAATTCAAGTAAAAGTTTGAATAAGGATTGTAGAAGTAATAGGCAAAGTTCTACATTGTTTTCGTAGTAAGAATGCTTCAACCTTCCGAAAAAAAAATGCTTCAACATGATGCCATGGGTGAGTCCAAATACTTTCCAGTTTCCAGTTCAAGACTTTAGACTTGAATGTCTTGGCCTTGTGGTCTTACGTAACAGTTGAGAGAATGGGAGAGGCTACGGTACCGGTCAAACAGCATTATGTACTGAAAAATAGGTGTGGTCATAAATTTAAAATACATTTAATATTACACATTCATTTAATATTACTCAAATGTGTGTGACTGTAAATTTTTTTGTCATTAAATATTACTCTTTAAAGGTGATAACTTTGCTTATAAATGTAATAACATTTCCTTAAAGAGTTGTAACTCACCTAAATACTTGTAATCTCAGTCGTCATTTTTTTGTGGTGTTTTCTACCTTTATTACTTGTAACCTAATTTTAAATACTTGTAGCCTAACTTCAAATTTAGTAATTTTACTATAAATAGTTATAATGTCACTTTCAGATATAGTAATTTTATTTTTAGTTGTGGTAACCTTACCTTACCCTTAATTGTTGTAACCTAACATTAAGAGATATAACCTCACTTTCAAATGTAGTAATTTTAGTTTTAATTATTGTAATCTTACCTAACTTTTAATTGTTGTAACCTAACATTTAAGAGTTTGTACCTCACATTTAAAGTTTAAAATTATAAATTTAAAATTCATAAAAGTAACATTAATTTAAAATTCATAAAATTAACATAAAATTAAAATTCATAAAATTAAAATTCATAAAATTAAATATTAAGATCTAGATTTCGATCGAACATATATTTGAGATAGATTGCAAATAATTAAGATNCGTACATAATTTCGATCGAACATATATTTGAGATAGATTGCAAATAATTAAGATCGATCATACAATTTACTATTTTCCTCTCCTTAAAGCCAACGTATATCCTTTTAGGATTGATCATTATTATATATGATCGATCCCAATTTTCTCATTCCCCCCATAGGCAAGACGCTCCACCCAGTAAAAAAAAAAAATTAATTTGATCGATCATGTTACTGTATGATCGATCTTAATTATCTTTTCTTATAACCTCACTACTAAAGGTTACTATTTTTCCAATGATAGGATTTAGCTTACCTCAATGCATTTTAATAGTACTAAACTAACCTAACCTCAACATCAAGATGTACTAACCTATCATTAATTTAATGTTAATTTTATGAAATTTAACTTAATTTTAATTTTATGAATTTTAACTTAATTTTAATTTTATGAATTTTAATTTAATGTTAATTTTATGAATTTTAATTTAATGTTACTTTTATGAATTTTAATTTAATGTTACTTTTATAAATTTTAAATTTATAATTTTGAACTTTAAATGTAAGGTACAAACTCTTAAATGTTATGTTACAACAATTAAAGGTTAGGCATTAAAAGTTAGATAAGGTTATAATATTTAAAAGTAAAATTACTATATTTGAAAGGTAGATTATAACTCTTAAAGGTTAAGTTACAACAATTAAAGGTTAGGAATTAAAGGTTAGATAAGGTTATTACAACTAAAAGTAAGATTACTATATTTAAAAGTGATGTTATAATTATTTATAATAAAATTATTACATTTAAGTTAGGTTACAAGTAATAAAGGTAAAAATACAACACAAAAAAATTTACACCCACACATTTGAGTAATATTAAATGTCAAAAAATTTATGACCACACCTTTTTTTCGGTAATGTACAGCTGTTTGATCGGACGGTGCCGTAGACTCTCTCCGAATATTCAATACAAGAGTCATACTAATTAACGAGTAATACTAGGTTGACAAAAAAAAAAAATCAAAATTATAGTCAAAATGAGAGGGCAGTCTAATCAACATTTTAAATTAGCTGTCATGTTATTTAATAAAAAAATTAATATTTAATTAATATTAGGCCCAAATTCTTTTCGTCTTCCCCTTCCAACTGTCGGATACCAATCAATCTTACCTTTCTCTCTCTCTCTTTCTCTTCGCCTCAGGTAACCTCTGTTTCTCTTTATCTTCACCGTAGGTAACACACACATCCACGCCTCTCTATTTCTCTTTCTCTTAGCCGTAGGTAACACACAGTAACACGCCTTTGCTTCGTCTCTCTCTCTCATCATACCCACCTTCGCCAAAACCCCGCCGGAGCCCGCCAGTTTCTCGTTGGAAACTGTCCCTGGAGAATCAAGAAAGTTGGCTTCTGTGTCTTATTATCTTCATGAATAAGTAATTATTGACTTGTGTAGAGTCTAAAATTCTTTACAACAAGTGTTTTAAGTCTACACCACCCATTGAAGCCTTTTACCTTATCTTTTACTTGGATGTATTTCATGTATCCAAAATATCTCTGTAAAGCAAAATTGAAAGGGGCATTCACATCTTGGTCAAAANCCACCACCCATTGAAGCCTTTTACCTTATCTTTTACTTGGATGTATTTCATATATCCAAAATATCTCTGTAAAGCAAAATTGAAAGGGGCATTCACATCTTGGTCAAAAGGAATTATGCGTGATTCTCTAGTGAATCGTCCTTTAGCAAGTATGGCATTCAGAGTCTGAAATAGAAAAAAAACTGTTATGTACATATTTTTAATATATTTTTATGTAATATGAGAGGCAGTATTAGGGAGATATTTTAGTGATTGAGTTAGCAGTGTATTTTGTGGATAGTTTATTAGGTGGTTATTATGATAGTGGAGTTCTGGCCAAGTTTGTTTTTTTGTGAAAATTTTAGAGATAGATTATCTTCGAATTGGGCCATCGAAGATTTTTGCCTCTCTAAGCGGGTTTTTTACTTCAATTCTATTTTTTCTTTATCTTACAAATCACTCAATAACAAAAACCTATCTTGATAGTTACAAGTCATTCCTTGCTGATCCGAAAACTATTTTATGTGGCAGGTGTTAGGGAACGTTTTTCATTCTTCATCAGATCCTGAGACCTTAAAAAATCAAAGTGGGAGAAGGAAACCGAAGCGAACATGTCTGCAGTTCCATTGGATTTCACGGTTGCCAAGATAGTTTCCCTCCTTGAAAATGAGGCATCCCTGGTGGGAGGAATTCATGCCGAGCTTTCCGAAATCAAGAATGAGCTGGTAAGCATGAAGGCCTTCTTAACAGATGCTGATAAAAAAGGACTGAAACTGGAAGTAGAGAAAGCTTGGGTGGAAAACGTCAGGGTCATAGCCTACAACGTAGAAGACATCATTGAAGAATTTATGTATCTCTTGAACGGGTCGAAAATGAGAGGCAAATTCACAAGGTTTCTCCATCATACCATTTTCCTGCCGATGAATCTGTGGGTAAGGCGTCAAATTGCAATGAAGCTGCAGAATGTCAATAATGTGATCAAAACCATTCCAGAAAAACGTCAAAGATATGGGATTGGGGTCAATCCCATAATGGATACGGCTCATGTTGATCCCAAGCGTCTGAACAACCGTGGTGAGTCCTCTCTTTGTGCTAGTGATGAAGATCTGGTGGGGATTGAAGATGGCAAAAAATTGCTGCTAACCTGTTTGATGGAATAAGAGCTACGAAGGACTGTTATTTCGGTGGTGGGGATGGGTGGTTCGGGGAAGATAACTTTAGTTGCCAAAGCCTTCAGCAGCCCAACTGTGAAGCAACATTTTGATTGCTATGCCTGGATCTCTGTGTCCACTGGTTATGTAATTGAGGATTTACTTAAAAACTTGATTGAAGAATTCTACCAAACCAAGAAGGAATTGATACCAATGGACTTGAACACCATGAGCTACAGACAGCTAGTAGAGATACTAGTGAATTACTTAAAGGGCAAAAGGTATATAGTTGTTTTGGATGATGTCTGGACCATTCATCTCTGGTTTGAAATCAAAGGAGCACTTCCAGATGGCAGGCATGGCAGTCGGGTTTTGCTTACAACTCGAAAAGAAGACATTGCTTCCTTTTCTTTTGGAGTTAGAGGTCATGTACATCGTATCCCTCCACTAGGAAGGAATGAAGGATGGGACCTGTTTTGCCTGAAAGCTTTCTCAGGTAAGCTAGATAATTGCTGTCCTTCGGAGCTGGAAATTATTGCCAGAGACATTGTCGAAAAATGTGCAGGTCTACCTCTTGCAATTGTGGCTTTGGGCGGTCTTATGTCCACTAAAAAATTGGAGTCAGAGTGGAGGAGAGTTAGTAATAGCTTAAACTGGGAACTATGCAACAATCCAATGCTGGAAGTAGTGAAGAGCATCTTGTTGCTTTGTTTCAATGATTTGCCTTACAGACTCAAGCATTGTTTCTTGTACTGTTGTATTTTCCTGGAAGGTAAGCTGATCCGCCGGAAAAAGATAATTAGACTTTGGATGGCAGAGGAATTTGTGGAAGAGATTAAAGGATTAACACCTGAAGAGGTGGGTGAGGGCTATCTTATGGAATTAATTTCCCGCAGCATGCTCGAAGTCACAGAGAAGAACCCATCTGGTCGGCCAAAAACATTTAAAATGCATGATCTTATGCGAGAACTTGCTCTTTCAATTTCAGACACACAGAATTTTTTTGTTTCCTATGATGGACGAAGATCAAAAGAAGAGACCTGGGCACGCCGCCTGTCAATGCAAACAATTGATGATAGAATCAAGGCATACCCAATAAGCTTGTCATGCCTTCGTTCTCTCTTTGTGTTCCTTACTGATACAGTCTCTTCTTTCTCCTTGCAATCAATGTTTTCAAGCTTCAGACTTCTAAGGGTCTTAGATATGGAATATGTCCCTATTCAGAAATTGCCAGATGAGCTTGGCAATTTATTCAATTTAAGGTTCTTGAGCTTGAAAGGCACTAGAGTGGAAAACCTGCCAAGTTCTGTGGGAAGACTTTACAACCTACAGACTTTGAACCTTTACCTGACAAAGGTGAAGGTGCTTCCCAGTGGGATTGGAAAGCTGCAAATTTTACGGTATTTGATTGCCTGCCATTACAATCTTCAACTAGTCGATGATTTCAATTATGTCACAGGGATGCAGGCACCATCAAGTGTCACGAAGTTAAAGGACTTGCAGGTTTTACATTATGCAGAGGCCAGTGATGATATAGTGAGACATGTCCACAATCTGACCCAACTCACTTGCCTTGGTATGACAAAGGTGAGAGGGGTGCATGAGATAGAGTTATGCAGGTCAATCCAAAAATTGAATCGTCTCCGCCACTTGTCTCTGATGGTAAGGAAACAGGAGGAAGTCCTGAAACTGAATGCATTATCAAAACCTCCTCCTCTTCTCCGGAGACTCAATCTGATTGGAAAATTGGAGAGAGTTCCATCTTGGTTTGGGTCACTGGATAGCCTTACAGCCTTGTACATAAGCTGGTCAAGACTCGAAGAAGATCCAGTCCCTCACATCCTAGAATTACCCAATTTGCGAAGGCTTACCCTTGTCAATGCATACGCAGGGAAGCAATTATGCTTTCGTTCTGGCTTCTACAAGCTCAAGACTTTAACATTACGAAATTTTCGTGGGTTGAATGAGATTATAATTGAAAGGGGGGCAATGCCAGATATTGAGAGCCTTTGGATCAGCAAATGCATGGAGTTAATAATCCTGCCTCGAGGCATTGAACACCTTACTAGTCTCCAAAATATGAATTTGGTAGATGTTTCAGAGAATGCAATAGATCGCATACGTGGAGAAGGAAGTATGGACCGTCCTAAAGTACAGCACATTCCTTCGATCAACTATTACTACCAGACATTATCAGGGTGGTATCATGAAAGTTTGGCCTGATTTATTTGTAATACCTCGATGCTGCTTCTGGCATTTGTCATGCTATTTTCCTTCTCACTGCATTTTTAATTCTAATTTTTAATCCTTTTCCACTCCTAAAAGGAACAACCTCCATTGTTTGCAAATACCTTTCTGGGGAATCAAAATATTTGGTTTGAGCACGAGGTTCGCCAAGCTTGTAAGGATGTATAATATATCGTTGAAAGCTATTCTTGAACCTCTTCACCATGTTAATAAGATTCAGGGTGCAACACGGAATTTTTAACCCTCGCATCCATACTTTGGGGGAAGAGGAAGCAGAGACAGAGAAATGCAAAAACGATGCTGAAGAGATGGGACAAAGAATGAATTCTCTGGAAAATAGTACATTGGTTTCAGAAACAGGTGGATACCCCTCTTCAATGGATGAATTAATGGCCATGAAGTCTAGACATGCAACTGTGAGCATAGCTTAAGGCCTTCCAGTACTCAAATGAGGGAAAAGAAAAGGTGTTGGAAGAAAATGAAGCATTCGATAAATCGACCTTTTGTCAAAGATTAAGAGAGCTTGTTCTGAAGGATGATCAGGACTTGAAACTCATTTGGTGTTGCTTGATGTTATTGTTCACTGAAACATTTTTGTGTTGTGCATCTGGTTCTGGTGTTTAATTTTGGATGAAGGTTTCAGTAATGAAAGGACATTAAAACCCCATAGATCAGATCGTGAACTCTTTCAGACCCTTCTCTCTCTCTCTCTCTCTCTCTCACAAACACACACACACGCGTGGGCCTTTTTCAAGTTTTTCCAATGCTCAGAATCTGTCATTTTTACATATGATTCTCCTGACTTTCCCAGGTGTAAGTATCAAGACACTTTCTGGTGTTATGATCAACTTTAGCTGAGAGCAAAAACATTTATATAGTCTGTTTCGATTTGATGATTACTATGAACTCAATTCTTTATTCTCATAGCTAATTAGTGTTCTGTTAGATTCTTTGCAGACACAATCTCTAGATTGCTTGATATTCAGAGTTGATTAAATAACCAGTAAGATGGCTTTGATATTAAGTACTTGATTAGCAAACAAATGTTAAATAAGGTTGGTTTCTAGTTCAGCATAATGTAGCTGGCTTAGCCTGACCTGACTTGCAACAGGTTGAACACTTTCTCTGGGGGTTGGATTAATGTGGGCTTAGTTCCTCTTAGCTAGCTTGATCAACAGTTGACGATTCATTATAGCTTCCATTTTTTCTGCATAGGACTGAAATCTCTCTCTCTCTCTCTCTCTCTACAAGACTAATGCTATTTGAACATAAAAATCTGAAATAATTTACTAATTTAATGATGTGGTTTTATTGAAACTATTGGATCAATGCTAAGTTTCAATGTTTGATGGGTTCCACGGTTAATCCAAAAGTCATAGTAAATTAAGTCAACAAATTAAGTTAATAAATTAAATCCTAATAACATTGCTCGATATTACAGAGGTTCATGTATAGTAATATTCATGTGCCTATACAGAAATATATATATAATAGCACAAGACTTATTTTGAATTCTTTAAATTAGCTTAACACAACAGTCTTGGCCGAGATTCACTCCATCCAATCCTCAAAATCATCTCCAAAAAATTTCCTCTCAAATCAGCCCATATTTTTCAGGTTAATCAAGGTCAGATTCTCCCCAAAATTGAAAATTCCACCTACCCCATACTTTTTTCGGCTAACCAAGGCTAAACAAAGTCTTATCTCTCCTATCTCTTTCTTCTCTCTTCCAATTTTTTTTTAAATAGTGGGACGAGACTGATTTTAAATTGTGCAATTATAGAAAAGGAAGAAAAAATAAATCATTATTTTATATATTTATATTACACTACTGATGTTCGATTTATTTGTGTTACCCAGTACCTTTAGGCATAAATTATTGCTAGTAATATACAACACACACACACACATACATATATATATGTTGTCCTTTAACTTAAAAAAAAATTACTTCAAAATATTGTGACCAAACCGTATATAAGAAGCAAGTGTTACAATGGAAGAATAAAAGGAAAAGAAAAAAGTAGACAAGGGCCAATAACTGTGGAAATCTAATAAAAGCCTTGTAACTTTGGGCATTGACCTGGTCATACTCATAGTGCTCCTAAAACTAGACTTGTCCTGAATTAGCACATAGACACAAATGCATGAATTTGCTAGTCATAAACAAAAGCTAACTGTTTGATAACAAAAGCTAACTGTTTGATGGTTGTCCTCTTTACCTAGCACACAAAAACCTCAAAATTATGGCCTCACATTTCATTTTTGTTCTATCCTTCCATTCCAACACCATTCCAATACTCGGTTCTATCCTTAGGAAAGGTGGTGGTTGTGGTGGTGGTGGTGGCAGCCGTTAATGGTAGCACCTGGAGGTGCCATACACCATGGAAGGTGGAAACGCACCAGCACGTAAAGTGATGGTGGTTGCGGACCCAACCCGTGAGTCCGCGGCTGCACTCCAATATGCTCTCTCCCATGCAGTGCTTGAGAATGATACATTAATTCTCCTCCATATTGAGAATCCCAACACATGGAGGAACACATTTGGGCTCTTCAAATGGCCATCATCACAAGCTGCCTCTACCACTGCTCCTTCAGCCGAAGGCTGCAGAGGAGATTTAGACTTTCTTGAAGCAATGAAGCAAGCATGTGAGATTGCCCAGCCGATGCTACGCGTGCATGTGGAGGTGGTGGAAATGGGCAGCAAGGACAAGGCTTATGTAATTCTTTCCCAAAGCACGGCACATGGAATTGATCTGCTTGTTATAGGGCAGAAGAGGAGTCTATCCAATGCACTACTAGGGTGAGTTTTGTCATTTCATTATATGAAATGAATGTTTTATAAGATGAATGTTTACAAAATAATTTTTATACACAGATCTCAGCAGGATTGTCATGTCATTTAAACTTCGCTTACCTATACAGTACATGGTGTCAATTAAGTCAAGAAGCTAAAGGAGACATGGCATTCATCTCTGAAACACCCCCCACCCCCCCAACCAAAAAAAAAAAGAAGCCCCAGCACACACATCTAAGAATACTAATTATGTGCAATTTTTGGCAGGCCCAAGCGGAATGTATCGTTAAGAGGACTAGACACAGCAGAATGCTTGATTCAGAACAGCAAATGCACCTGTGTTGCAGTGCAGAAAAAGGGCCAAAATGCAGGCTACCTTCTCAACACGAAAACCCAAAGAAATTTTTGGCTCTTAGCATAAGCACATGCACTCAGTCACTTGTTCACCAGTAACTGACTCACTGTCTACCATAGCCCACCCCGTACGCAGTTGGTGCTCTACATACAATTCATGACTTATTCAATTTTTGTTGCATTAGAAACAGATAAATTTGATCATGCTATGTTTGGCAAACTTTGAAACCAAAATGTCAACAGTTTCTGCAAGAGAAAGGCACACTTATATATGTTCTTCAATTTTCGAAATTCCACAAAAGCAGAGGAGAGGGCAAGAGGGCAGGGGAACAAATGTGGTTGTTGTCTACATATAGCATGACATTTCTGCCCTTGATGTGAAACAAAGAGCATGGAATTAAAGTAGTTTGGGACATCCGTATACTTGCATAGAGACTCAAAAAAATTATACATGGAGAAACTTTAAAGTTCATCATGCATAGGTTGTTCTAATGGTACATCCAAGTTGGGTACTGCATTGTCATGTACCTGAGCAAGGTTTACACCATTTCCACCTGCTCTAGGTCCAATCTCCACTTGTCCAGCCATACCAGCCTTTAGTGTAGCCACAACCTTTCTCTACAACTTGACTATCCCCATGCGCTTTGAAACAACATAAAGAACAGCCAACAAGAACAAGAGAAACCCAGCAACAAGTATCACCCTGCTAAGATAAAAGTCATCCTAAGACTTGCAAGCAGAGATTATCGGGCTGCCAAAAAACAACATTTTTTCATCTGTACCTGTCAAGGACATCTTGGCACTGCATTGTGGAGAGTAGGTTTCGCGTCCGCATCAGCAATGAGCGATGGCCCTTGTATTCACCTTCAGCTTTCCTTAATACTCCTGTTGATTCCTCTGCAGTACAATGTATATTGTCATCTAGAGCCATCAACTATATAGTTGAGTAAATGCACAAGATGATACTACAGAGTTCTATTGAAACAAAAACAATCATTCTGCAAGTAGAGTATGGTTTGCTTTCAAATTTCACAGAGCCAGAAGTATCAGCAACAATGTGAAACTTGTCCAAAATTGTCCCCAACACGTGTCATTTAGGCAATAGAATCTAGGGAAAGAGATGCACATAAATGGATTATTCTGAAATATAAGGTGTAATCTATGACCAAAAAATACACTTAATCAGAAAGAATCAGGTATGCTGGATACAATACATATGGATAATTACATCACTTACCCTCAGGTTGGTCCAAATAACAACTAGAAAACCCCTCAGGTTTAGTAACATTGCACTGCATTATGCATTGGTAATCTATTAGATTCCAGCGAGCCACGAACGTTAGAAAATTCATGATGTAAGCAACTCATTTCTCAAAGTACCAACATTACTCATATGAGACCTACCTGCATTTGTTGAGGTCTGGTTGTAGAGAGATGTGGGTGGCAATCGAGAAGGTGTTAGTGATGGTGGTTTTAGAGAGAGTTTCGGGGTGGGAGTTGGTGGCAATTGGTTTGTGGTTGGTGCAGGGTAAAGGAGGAGGAAATGATGGCAGTGGTGGTTGATTTTATGTAATGGGAAAATAGGTGGTGATGAAGAAAAAAGGAGAGGGTGTGAGACAGTTTCATTGTAGAATGGAAAATAAGAATAACTTAAAAAGGGACTCAAAAACTAAAAAACCTATATGTAAAAGTCAAGTGACCCTGACATGATCATCCTTCGTCATAGTTAATGTCCAACAGCCAATGAAAGGGGGACATCAACAAAAAACTTGAAAATCCAGGGGTCTACTTTTGCAATCAATACTTCACAGGGCCATTTGAACCCTCCGAGTTAAAGAGTCAAAATGTGATTTCCCCATTCGTATATATTTAACATCTTCTCTTGTTTTCCTTCAAATTAAGAGCACCAAAAAATTTCCAAACTCATAGGCTAAAGCCACAAGAATAGTCAGTAGAAACTTAAGAAAACACAATGTATCATGGATCATTTGCAGGCAAAAGTACAAGTATATGTAGTAATCAAAAGAACCTACCAAAAGTCATGAGTGTGCTTGCACTTCTTTCAACCTCCTGTGATTATACATAACTACAATGAGAAAAATCCCAGTATAACATCATGAAAGTTGCAAGAAGGAAACAAAAAAAAAATTGAATATAGCTAATAACCTGAACCATCAGTTGACGAGTACGACGAAGGCTCTCTGTGATGCTTTCTGCCGCAGATGTCATTCCAGCTTTTGTCCTGATAGAAATTTTAAAACCATACATTCTTAGTAACACTTCTTCTATTAATAGAAATTTGGAAATTCACTTCTACCATCAATACCTATAACACAATCTTGCATAACAATTTTGAAAACAAATATACGAGAAAAATTTCACCGAAAGCTAACACATACTGTAAATTGCGCCTGCGAATTGTGGACTCTTCTCCACCTCCCAAAAGAAGCTCCCTCTACAATTGGCAATACCAAATTGAATGTCCTTACTTAATCACAAATTGTCTCGGACAAAATGGAAATAAAAGGAAAACAACAGTGCCACTTTATCCATCAAAATGGGAATCACTAGCCAAAATATGCTTTTACGAATACATGCATATGTTGAAAAATTACATTTTATCAGATCAATTAGATGCCAACATATAATAATATTATACACATTAACAAGCAATTAAGCAAACAAAGTCCATTACCTCTTCTTGAGCAGCTTTCCTCTTGTTTGCCTTTGCTTGTAAATTAGCATTTCTCAAACTTAGTCGCAAACTAGATAAAAAAACAAAAACAATGTTAGCAAACTATACATAAATCTACACAGTACATTTATATACCTTTGGCTGCCCACAATATGCAGGGAACTGAAGAATCACACCATAAATATAGGGACAAAACCTCAGATTGCATGGAAAGAAAACAGCTCATTCCCGAAAATTCGATCAAATTCAAGTTATTGCATCCTAATATGCCAACATCTTCTTCGCAACCAAGCATAAATTAGGGCTAAAACCAATCGCCATTGCTAAAACAAAGACCAACCCACATCCACATATACATATAGAGAGAGAAATTGAGCCTTTTGGGTTACCTTTGGATTTGGGTTTTCCAATATTGAAGCAAAGACAGTGCCTTTTCCACTTCATCAATTGTGGGTAGTTGTGGTGCCAATAGATCGAGCTTGAACTGCAATGATTTGAGCAAATTCAACTCATCTTGAGCCAGACTATTCAATCTGGGCAGTGAATTCTTTTCCTCTATGTGAGATCCTATTCCTGACTTTCTGTACTCTGAGATTGATTTGATGTGTTCTTGGGTTTTGTTGTGTGTTTCTTCCCATTCTTTTTTAGCCTTTTCAACTTCCTCCACCACCTTGTCCATTGAGAAGTTTTGGGTAGCTGAAAAGGGAAGTAATTTACCTCTCTGAAATTTTGTTGAAAAGGAAAACCAGTAGAACCAGTAGGCCGGTTGGGCGGGGCAGAGGAAAATCGTTCAGAGTCGGTTGACAATTGAAATGTTGAAAGAAGAATAAAGGGTAAAAATCCCAGAACTTTGCTTTTGATCTTAATTTGATTCTTAAATTTTTAATTGTCTTTAATTTAATATCTCAATTATGAATTTTATTTCAATTAAGTCTTTATGTTTGTTTTTTACCATTAGATCAAATAAAAACTAGTCCGATTTGATCAATTTTCACCATTCGATCATATGCTTTCATTTAATCTAACAGTGAAATTTGACAAAATGATTTAACTGAGATGAAATTGATAGTTGAGGGGGTTAAATTGAGATAATTAAAAGTTCAAAATTAAATTAAAATTAAAATCAAAGTTCAATGACTAATTATGAAATTTAGCCAAGAATAAACAACACAAATAACTCTCAAAATTTGACCCTTGTGGTGGTGTTTGGATCACCATGAAAGGATTGGATTGGATTTAAATTCGAACTCAATTTAACCCAATGCAAAATGACTCGGATCGGAAGATTATAAAGATGAGATTCAAATTCTATCTCATCTTTTGATAAATTTTATTTGGTTTGTGGGCCCCATTACCATGTGAAGATAAAATATACTAAAATGATCATTTAATCTTTATGTAAAATAATGTGATCCAATCCTTTACCGTGTTTGGAATGGAATGAAAAAAAGTTCAATCTATTAGTATTGTTTTTTTAAGACAAAATATATGAATTGAGGTAATTACGCATTTTTACAAAATATTGCAATAAATATTTTGTTCATTTATTTAATTTAGTTTGTACAATACACTTTTAATCACAAAAATCATATACATCATGGAAAAAATAATAATAATTTCCAACACAAAAACAATACACATACCGATACAACTCAAGCCTAAGTTGTTATTTGTTTATTTCTAGAAAATTTGAAGTTGTGTGTTTAAAAATAAAAATTAATTGTTTATTTTCAATAAATAGCAAAATTAATCCAAATCATATTAAATATTTTCAATGACTGAAATGCAATTTATTATCCAAAATGGTAAGGTATTTTAATATTATTGCATGAATCACTAGCACACACCATGTCAATTTAAAATATGTTGCTTTAATACAAATGTTAATTTTTTTTAGATTTCTTGTATAAGAAAACAAATGGGACGAGAAAAAACTTTTTAAGATCTTAAAATTTTAAAATATAACGAGATGCAACACCACAAAATAATTATTATTTTTTAATGAGACCCAAACCATTTCATTCAAAGTTGAGGTAGACCAAATATTTTCACACACATACTCTCGAATCATGAGCTTCCATGCTACATTCTGTCAATTGTGAGAGAATTTATAACGGTAGCAATTTAGTTCAAAAGTATAAGAGTTATGTGCTAATTTTTGAATAATGACAGGGGATAATGTGCAAAATAACCAAACCACTATCGTATTAACTGGATTTTTAGTTGGTTAAATTGGTCATCTTCCCTTGCAAACCATGGAGAGAGTTCCACATGCTTCGACTTCTACATCAGACAGAGACAAACAAATACAGAGAGAGAGAGAGAAGCATAGGGAAAGCATTAGAGATAAGGCAGTTGAGAAGGCCTAATACTAACCCTTCTCAGTCGCCTGATAAGAAGATGAAGGGACATGTAAAAAGGGAGCTCAGGAGTCTGATAACGCACTTGATCAGGAAAATGAAGCGGCAATTGATAAGTGTTCTCTGTAATGAGATCAAGTAATTCGAATGGTAGGTAGTTAGATTCAAGAAAAGTTTATGAAAGTATGAACCAGAGATTTCCTAAGGTCTTTGATTTTCTTTCCTCCTTCAAAGCAGAGACCACGAAAATTCGGGTCAGTATTGATATGCAATGTATATAGAAAGGAATGATAAGAAGAGGTCCAAATCATGGTAGAAGAGGAATATCGACCCTTGGAAAACATGTGATTCAGAAGGGAAACAACATAGTGTAATTCCAACAGAAATTGTTTGTCTTCCCAATTTTTTTTCAGAAGATAAAATTCTGAGATCCCAAGAAGAGAGAGTCCCAACCTCTATATTCAGCAGATAAAGGAAAAAGTGGTGAAAGCAAAACCAAAGACGAAGAGGCATGAAGAAAGAAGACAGAGGTATGTGTGATATATCTCTGTTCACATGCTTGTTTGTTTCTATTTTTTGTAAAGTTATTATATTTGTTCAGTTAAGAGAGAGAGAGAGGTCTGCGTAAGTGTTCTCGATTCAAAGTTTATTTATTTGTTTTTATTTTGTGTAAAGTTATAATGTTTCTTGAATAGGGGGAGAGATAGATAGAGAGAGAGAAGATGAAGGGTGTGTGGCCTCTGTTGGTGGTGCTCTGCTTACTAATACACTGCATCAATGGGGAAAATGCATATTAGTTCTTTACTTGGAATGTGACTTATGTTGATATCTCATAATCAGTGTTTTTAATAGATTGTTTGAGCCATTTCTTCTCTACTAGTAAGGAAATGTTTGAGCCATTTCGACCGGATAATAGAAAATAGTTACGTTATATTGGAGTTAGACCGAATTAAATTTTGTCAGATCCACTTAAAAAATACATAATTTTAATATTTTGTACGAAAAATTAAAAATATACAGGGTCAATTTGGATGTATTCTTGAACATTAAAATTCGAATAACTGAAACCACCAACATTGAGGTTTGCCTCAATGTATTCTAAAAATCCTCTTAGATATTAGTCATCGAGTTACATGGTAAAGACTGTTTTAACATGGATCTAGGTGCCTAGTGATCTGCCTGATTAGATTCCCTTGACTAGTATCTGAAAGTTATCTCTCACTCCTTGGAAATTGCTTGGATATCTTTTTTGAAAGCTTAAATTTTCCATGGGGGTGTTTCTTCACTGGAGCTCAACTTGATCACTTCCTGATTATCACTTTCCACCAAACACATGAGGAATCTATAAAGTTGCTGCCATGAATCAAACATCTCGAACTGCAGTTACCTTAGAGAAAAGACTTAAAACTGTTGTTAAAGTTTTTGTTTTCCCTTCAATTAGATCACTTAGGGATTTCTGAGGACGATCCCAATGCAGCTCTCTTGGAAATAACATCATAGCTCCGTCACAGTTGAATTTTTGAGATTGTGGAAGCAGGGTATCATAGCTCAGCTTAACATCATGCTAAGTTTGATCTTGGGTTACAACTGACTGGATGTGGAATGTGCGTAGCTCAGGTGACAGACATATGAAAATGCTAGGTTACGTCCTCCAAGTCAAAGGCCTTTACTGGTACTTTTATCTTACTTCCCCTCCCTAGCTTTCCACAAGGTTGTAGGAGGTTTGGGTGGCATCAACATCTCCAGTCATTGTGTCATTCCCGTTCCATTCCCATTCCACATCCAGTCATATGCATGATGAATAAAAATTGTAAATAATTTCCAACACACACATAATTGAAATCTAAAAATATTTTGCTTGTACATAAAAAACGACAATATCTTACAAAAAGTCTCAATTTTAAGGTCGTGCATAACACAACGTACAAATTGAAAATTTAATACACTCAGCAACAAAATAAGGCATACACTTTGCATTATTTGAAGACCATCCACCACAACCAAATGGCAATATGGGTAACACATGTAAATTATAACATGTAGTAGTTCACAATACTAGCTTGTTACATGGAATCTTAAAAACGGCAATGTCTTACAAAATGTCTCAATTGTAAAGTCGTGCATAACATCATGCACAAATTGACAATTTGATACCCTCAACAACAAAATATGGCATATATTTTGCCTTATTTGAAGACCATCCACCACAACCAAATGGCAATATGGGTAACACATGTAAATTATAACATATATTAGTTCACAATACTAGGTTTTTACATAGAATCTTAAAAACTACATTGTCTTACAAAAGGTCTCAATTTTAAAGTTGTGCATAACACCACGCACAAATTGACAATTTAATACCCTTAGCAACAAAATAAGGCATACAATTTACCTTGATTTGAAGAACCTCCACCACAACCTAGTAGGCAATATGGGTAACACAAGTAAAATATAACATGTAGTAGTTCACAATACTAGGTTGTTACATAGATTCTTAAATGACACCCAGGATTTGTAGATGTTACTTCCGTATTGAGCTTGGGGTTATTGGAAGAAGTCAATCTTCAATGACTATAACATCGACGGTTGGGGCAGAATTCACTGATGGCGAGGGTCCTACATTATCTGAAGTTTGTCCGTCTGATGCTGGAACAACATTTTTGAAAATGACATCAAAATAGTGGTAGTTAGGACATGAGTCTAGATAGTATTTCATAGCAAATGATACGTCATGCATGATGTAAACAACAAATAGTTTAATAATGTTGTGTTTCCAACGACAATGTGATGAAATTCACACTGAAAATAATGATGGACACTTACGTCTAAGTATTCATTCGAGCCCTCCACATCTCCTTTGATAACACACTAATTGCGATTGTCCCAGAAAAATTTACCCGTATCCAACATATCTACAATTGTGAAATAGATTTGGTTCTAAAAAAATATCATTCGTAATACCTCACTTAATGACAGGTTAAAGCTGGCAGATGCCTGTTTAGGCCTCTAACAATTGATCCATCGTTTTCTTGTCCAATCTACCATGAGGAGATAATAGGTTCCGGTGTTTGTGGTCAATTAACGTATCAATCATCACATCAATTTCATCTACAGTCATATTTGGAATCTTCATCCCTACATAACACATTTGCAAGTTCACATTAGATGTATCAATGATATACAATTGCTATAATTAATTTAGGAAATGTTCACAATGTTAAAATAGCACAAACAAGTGAAGACATTTTACATAGGTGCATAAGCAACAATTCCAAAATTACATTGCCCTTACTATCCAACTTACATCACAATTTTCAAAATTTTGTAGATAACCAACCTATGTCAAAACAATTCCCCATACATACTACAAAATACTTTTAAAATAATCCGAACAATCATCCAAATCTACCCCAAAAAAAAATACACAACATGGGTTATGATTATATCCA